AACAATGATATTTTTTTGGTGACTTGCACTTTGTCTATTACAATAATTAATACAATACTCAGTTCCCATCATGTGTGCGATATGTTTTTATGTTTTTTCTCCTTSATTGTTTATGATTAAAGCTAGAACACATAATTACTAAGCAGTTGGATCAAAATGAATCCTAGAGATGAACAGACCATGTACCTCTACTTTTTATTATGGAATGATGTGAAGTGAGAATGAATTGCGTTCAACTGGGTGGCAGGGGTTACTAGTGACAAGTGATTACAGCTAGCCAAAATAACTGTGTGATATAATATTTGAAAATTGCAAAAGGGTGTGATTTGYAGGTCAATCACGTCAGGCACAAATGACCTCAAAAACTGCAAGCAAATAAATTAAGGAATCCTATTTATTTTATCTTTCAATGTCCAACTAAGCTGAATTTTTTATTTTATGATTTCAGATGTTATGATGTTTCATTGACAGGCCCGGGTTGGGGGGGGGACTCTCTTGAAAAGTGGGTAGGGGGGCTCAACAGACGTTTTTAAAAATGACCCTAAGAGGTACGCATAAATTAACTGAGATGCTGATTTCTGACCCTCAAAGGTACAACCATAATTTAAATGACAACGTTTCCAACCATAGTATTCTTGTATGACGTTTGATATTTTTCAAAACGAACAAATCTGAGTCAGCCGGGAGTCAGCCGGAGACCCTAAAAGGTCCATCGAGCCCCCCTACCCACTTTTTAAGAGAGTCCCCCCCCCGGGATTGATGGCATATTTGGCATATTGTTTTATCCTTTGCACCACCCTATATGTCTATCAAAAGATGAGAACAAAAAGGGTTCAATTCTAACCTTGTTCTCGTCTCAAGGGTACTGCAGGTCTGACCTCATTCAGATTACACCAGATTTGATATCCRTCATTAAACTGTACAAAGTACCGTGGAAACTGTGGATTCATGTGGTCCAGCTGTGTCACTGTACCAAGATAGAACTTCTTTGTATGTGGCCAGTAACCAATCACTCTTGACAAAACCTGAATAGTCCCCACACTTGGGTTGACRTCACAAATCACAGCACTGGTGTCGCTTGGGTCGTGTTGAATTTTGTCACCATCGTCAAACTGGACGTCTATTTTACCCCCAACATTGGTTGCTCTGCCACGGTAGTAATGGTTGTTCGTCCAGCGGCCAAGAACACGGCTCTTTGTCAGTATGGGAGGGGTGCCTAGGGCTAATAAAATGGTGTTGTCAAGTAAAAAGAGTGGCTGTGTCAATAGAGGTTTTGCACCACCACATGACTGCAGCCATGGCAGGAGCAATATGATCGTTTTACATGAGTAAGAATTCAATTCCCAAGAGCAAAGGGATTTTAATCTTCTCCCATCTAACTACAGGCAGCCTAAGCTGTATTATGGGTGTGGGCTCGTGATGGTGCAAAACCTCTATAGGCAAGGTCATATTGTTTTTATCAATAATATTAGTTATGCTTTTGCGATAAAAGCAATCTCGAACAAAGAGGAACCTATCCCTYTCCCCTGCTGGGGGAAGCCAGGACTGCCCTGGATATTGCAATAACCAACCCCATACCCTATGAAAACTTTCTATGCATAGACCTGTATATATAGGTAAATAAATTTCATGTACTAATAAAAATATTGCAATTTTCCGACATGTGAACTCTGTGTCTGTGAGCTGCACACTGAAATCTTTTTTTTTGATGCCATCAATCAAACCTAATCAGTCGGTACCTTCCATATTTTTGACTGGCGGCATCGAAAAACCAAATTTCAGCGTGCAACTTAGAGACACAGAGTTCACAYGTTTATGGAAATTGCAGTAATGCTATATTTTGATAGTAATTGAAATTACCTGATGGTGTTATTTCTAGGAGAACACGTATTTGATTCAATACTGCCCACCCCCTGTCTCCATCATCAWACTGAATATCATATCTCGGGAATTTAGGGTCATCTTTGTTAACACCCATGACACGCCCAGTGTAGTATTTTCCACTTCCGTGAAACTGAGCGATTACCCGAGAATTATCTTGAAYGGCTTCAGGGTATGGGTCAACATCCGCAACAACAGCAGTTTGATCATGGATATCATGAGAAATTGTATCGCCGTCATTAAACTTGATGTGGACTTGGGTATCAACATTGGATATTGTCCCACGGTGGTATGTCCCATCACTCCAGCGTCCCCACACTGGAGTTCTAGGGTCAAGACTTCCAGCTTTGACAAAAATAAAAAAATAAATTTTATAGCTTATCATATCATATTGTAACATATATAATTATCATACTTTTAAGTTGTCAGTGTATGCAAGAACAAACCCCTTCTATACTACCATGACCCCTATCATCACAGTGAGTCATGCCGGCAGGTTGCTATGTGGTATCRGCGGCACCTGCATCCTTCTGCAGGTTGTCCATAAATGTAGTCAGTGGGTGACCATGACCCCTAAGACCATGGAGGGGCTCTCAGAGTATTAGCTTGCTAGTTGGAAGTTTTTTATGTATGTAACAGTGCGTGGCCAGCAAGACCAAGTCTTGGCAAGGCCACCTTGTCTGAGATCCCTGGTAGGCTACTGTACGACTCAGAGTTCATAATATGATTCTATCATGCTCTGTGCAGCATAGAGCATATGGGTTTACGATGGGTGTATCACCCCTATACTTCATGCTTAYTTAATGTTATTAATAGMGCTTTTAAGTTTGATGTCAGTTGTATGGAAAAGCGACTTCTAGGTCCAAAAAGAAATTAAGCAATCCTATAAAGATCTTCTTTTTTTTGATGACAGAATTTGTTGTCCAAAGTTCTAATATTCTCCTTTACAGATCCCTGCACTATGTTGAAAGGTAACCCTGTGGGTGCATCGAAGCAAGAACAATGGTAACCTTGTGCAAAATGATAGACATTTGAATAATGTYGAAGGTGTGAAAAAGGTTTCCAACATTGCAAAGTCACCATTATTCTCACTTCATTAATGCACAGGCCCTGTTACTTTTGAAGATGGCRCGACGGAATTGTGAGGAGGACTATTGTTTGAGGTGAAGGACAATCACTGCCAACATTTTTTGCTTTATTTTAGCAATCTTTAGGTCTGGAAATATGTCATAAATTAAAAATTCTATTCAATTAATTTATAATTAGCTCACCATAAAAGCCAATGCTTCCATTTCCACTCACATTACCACCTTGATGCATTAACAGAGTTTTATCCGTGATCTTTGATTTGAGTTGTACGATGGAGCCATTACGAAAACAGTCCTTGCAAAACAAACACAAATGTATGAAATTACTTGTATAGGGCAAATTCCATGACCGTAAATAATTCAGTTACAAACACTTTTTTTTCAATGCAAAAGGGGGGATGCATGTCCAAGCATTTTAATTGCCTGAGCAGGGAGCTTGTGCACACACTACGAGTGGTTTAATGAGTAAATTGCAAAATTTATGTATATTGTGTAGTTCCAGAAATCATCCATACCCACCCCACAGAGGAATTTGGAATTTCCGAAGAGTAGGGGGGTCAGACAAAGAACAAAAATTACAGAGTTCGTATGGAAGAAAATTGGAATTTCCGGGGCGTAGGTGGGTGTCTTAAAAAAATTCCTCTGTGAGGTGGGTATGGATAATTTTCGGAACTACACATTACTTACCAAAGTTGGGCTTCCTAAGCTTGCCATGGCAGATTCTCTTTCTAGAATTTATGTTCTGTTGGATGTCACTCTTTTATCAAAAAGAAAGATTTATTTGTCAACAGAGGGTATGTACCATGAAAAAATCTACCCAATCTCCCTTACCCTTAGGGGCAGTTCACTATTTATAATTTATGAGGGGTTGGTTGGATGAGAAAGAAGAAATCCCCCAGCTCCAAACTCTGGGGAGGGGGGGGGGTGTTTCCCCTATATTCGCTATATGGGTACGTGCCGCCAAACAGGGTATGATTTTCAGCAATTTTACTCTGGAACAGGGTATATAGAATCGTGCTCGCTCTGGGACAGGGTATATGAAATCATCCTCTCTCCTCTCTGGAACAGGGTATCTATTTTCACAATACAGGAACTGGGTATGGTTTTCAGCGATCTTGCTATGGAACAGGGTATGAATTTCAGCGATTTTACTCTGGAAAAGGGTCAGGGTTCAGAGGGCTCAGCGGCACATCCTTACCCTAAACAGGCAGGAGAACCCCCCGGGCTCCAAACTGCATTGATGTGCCCCAAGGCTCTTCTACACATAACTCAAATTAATTCAAGAGTCAACGGCCACTTTGCAGGGTCACTAAACTTACAAGGCCGCCATACCACCCTTCGTTAGTATCATTGTGTACCGGTTAACGAAGTACGTCATTAAGGTTTCCGAACACACTAGTGGGACTTAAAATTTTTTCGAGGATTTTGGTTCTCCTCACTCAGAAAACCCCAACCCTAAACCTAACCACTCGACCACGAAGCAAATTCGCTTGGGTGGTCTCTTATGGCATGTGCATGTGCATAATTTATTATAGCTTAATTTATGCTATCGTGACGACTACTTTACTAGTCGACTACTCGAAGTTTGAATTTGAATAGAATTCCCCTGACAATTCCTGTACACGACGATATAGCCCACCCTTCCCTTCATTAAATAAACTGTCCCTTACGTGAAAATCTTGTTGGAAACAAAGAAATACAAAATTAAAGCAAAATTGGAAGGGTTGCCGCTCGTTGTSAAATATTGCGGGTTCGAATTAGCTGGCTTGCATTAAAGTGAAGGACGAAGGTTCAACGGAGCACCAAGCACGAACAAAGGCCAGATATAATGGTAATCATTGTTAATTATCACAAGTTCAAAGCTTATCTTATTCTCTTGGGCATTAAGTGTTMTTCCGAATCAATAGCTTTGCAAAACAGKAAAAAGTGTAGATTTGAAGCAAACAAAGAGAGAAAATTAACGTCGACTCCAAACGTTGAAGAATTTTCTATCCCAGTGCAAAATGACAATTAAATGTTCTCAAAAATAAGCTTTATTAAGATATAATATGCATTTATAGCGTTGCTTAACTTACCTTGGATTTCAAAATATAGTGGTAAATGACATTTTGTTATATATTTGAGTCAAGAGAAATACAGGAATTCGCTCCTCATCTAGTCTCCCTCGCATCCGTTTTTAGTGTCARTCGTCRCGCAACGCTCCCTCCCCCGCGTTGCGTGACGACCRACTACTCCTCATCTGAATCGAATTGAATTCTTGGAACTAGCGTCACATGACATTGTTTTGATCAGCTGCTGTCTGGGGGTCATCTAATGGCGGGAAACTGAACTAAATGACTGATAACAATGGGAAATGGCGAATGAAAATGAGAAATAAAAAAAGGAGGAATGGGATCTGCTATTTCAATAGTCTGGGAAAATGTCAACAAACTGAATCATAGAAGAACGAAAAACAAAAGAAGAAACAAAAAAGATTGACAAAAGAATATAGAAAAGGAGCTCACATTTTCATACTCCTTTAATTGCCCTATTTCACTATGACGTCATATCAAAACAATCTATTGTTTAAATGCAAAGGATCATGGTCGTCGGAGGGGGTCAAACCAATGCAAATTCACCGAAAACTGTTCTAAAATCCCCCCGGGGGTRGGGATGTTCCGCTGAGCCCTCTGAACCCTGACCCTGTTCCAGAGTAAAAATCGCTGAAATTCCTACCCTGTTCCAGAGCAAGATTGCTGAAAACCCTGTTCAAGAGAGGAGAGAGCGTGATTTCATATACCCTGTTCCAGAGCGAGCAAGATTTTATATACCCTGTTCCAGAGTAGAATCTCTGAAAACCATACCCTGTTTGGCGGCACGTACCTGTATAGTGAATATATGGGAGTACCCCTCCCCCCCTGGTAAAACCCGTATCAATCCAAGAACAAAAGTAGATTAGCCAGCCTCTCAGAATATTTTTTAGTACATATAACACATATTATATCTGAAAACCAAGCCATTTTAGATTAAACTGTTTCACTAGGAGCAAATTTTGTTGAATTTTCTATTAGATTTGGCGATTCTATCCCACACATAAACAAGCAGCACATAAAAATCTTATGGTACCATGTAAACACGGCCTAAGAGTTTGAAACATGTCTGCACAACACTATCCTCCTTCACAGACGAGAGTTGAGTAATGACGCTAAGAAAATCTGTCAAGGAGGCTATACTAGCTAGTGCATGTGCCTTAACAGAAACCATAAACTGAGGTTATTTTTCTGATATTCTATGATATACTAGAATTAATGTTAACACAACAAAGACAAGAGCTCAATGCATCATTGTGCAGTAATGTAGATACAGTGTACTATTTCTGAATCTACTACTTGCATTCTACAAACTATTTTCTGTAGTACGATTTGTTGAACCAGCTTGGTGGTCATATCACTAATGAGGATATGTGGGAAGCCCTTGAGTCCCTGGTGCATATGGAGGAGCTGGACCAGTTGGGTAGCCTGTCCCAGGGTACGGCTGAGGTGGTGCAATTGGATATCCTCCGGGGTACCCTCCAGCTGGAGGTGGGTGTGAACCTGTTGGGTATCCACCTGGGTAGCCTCCCTGAGGGGGTGGTGCAGTTGGGTAACCTCCTGGGTATCCTCCAGCAGGATACCCTCCACCCGATGGTGGAGTGGGATAGGGTCCTGGCTGTGGGTAGCCTGGAGTAGGTGCTGGGTATCCACCTCCATGACCATGCTCAGCAGAGTAGATCTGACCATATGGACTGAACTGTTAAAAAAAATTTCAAGCAATAAAGATCCAGCATTATTGCATCTATACTTATATATATTATTACATGCCCAACATATGTAGCCCAATAGCGAGGCATCTGGTTTTAATGGCTTCCATCAATCAAAAAGTACCAACTCAAACTTGAAATTTGCTTGACAGAAGACAAAAGTATGTAACCCAGATGTTTTGAATAATAGCTAGATGTGTGGATTGCATATTTGTTATGAAAAAGGGTGTAACATTATAGTACATGKAACTTTTATTGGTTATTGCCATTGAAAAGCCTTGGTTGAAAAGGGTTATATCATGGTAAACTTTCATCTTTTACATGCTTTTTGAGTCATTCAGGACTGGTCAATGATTTGATTCCGGTAAATTCAAAATGTGAATGGATTTTGCTTGAATAGATTTTTTGACTGTTCATTGTGCTCTCCCTTGCCACAATCAAGGGATTCTCTCTGGATTCTCCAGTTTTTGTCCATCCCTCCTCAAAACCAGACTGATTGTAGAGTTGCATGCATAGAATATTGAATCTCATGGTAGTGTGTGAAAGTGGGATAAATGGACTACTTTGACGGCTATCAAAGATGATGGAAAATAYATAGAGTTTGTGTGTTTGTTTTGCTTTTTGTTTGGGTTAAGGTGATCATTGTACTAACTTAATCCATCTTTTGTTGTATTCTGTTAATATTACTGCAACAAGTTGTATTTGCCCCCTGGATGCCCCATGATGCCTTGTGATCAAAGATGGTTGCCGTATCATTGAAGTAGTCCACTGAAGACCAGTATTTCTAACGAAGTTGCTCATATGCTATTATAAAGAAGTAAACATCATATAGTCATTAGTTTATATCTAATACATACCAATAGTTTGACCTCAAAGAATGCCTGGTCATTCTTGGGTGTACTCGCAGGAGGCGTCACTGTGCCATCATGGTTTACGCCAATGTGTTGTCCTGGCAACATACAGAACTCCAAGGAAATATAGTGGTCAGGTGTTTCATGGATGTAAAAATGGCAGTAGTTGTCAAACATCTGCATATTAGCAAACAGAGTTTAAAAG